AGCCAGCAGGAAGTTGTCTGATATCATTGCAGCACAAAGCATTGCCGCATGCAGCCCAGGTTTCTGGCCACATTGAGTCAGCATCTGTTCCTTATCACTCTGTGTCTTTCAGAGAAGACTTATATAGCTCATGGCAACCTGGAAGAAGCAGGGGAAGCTATTAACTGTGGCCTTGTACATAACACATCCCTATTGTCTTTAGACAGACCTTCCTTTATGTTAAGAGATTAGGTTTTATGCTTGACAATTTATCTCCTGCACACATCTGAAAGCGAAAATGTTCAAGAAGCAAATGCAGTCTGCCCATTTGGACAGGGAGTGATTGAGTGAAGGAATATGCTGCTACAGGAGATGTGAGCGGAGCATGAGGATGGGACAGCATGCAGGGAACTCAAAGTGAAGAATTTGGAGAGAGTTTCGACAGTCATGGCGGATGTGATAACCCACACCATGGACTCCCAGTATAGTCACGTGCACAGGCACCCCTCCAGCCCTTCTGAATCCACCTTCCCTCCTCACTAAGTTCCATAGCCTACTTTCCCAGGAGCCCTAGAATGCAGGGAGAGGGTGGAGTCAAGGGCAGCCTCACACTCAGCCCTCAGGGATGCATCCTGGAAAAAAGGCTGTCCTTCTCACACCTGTGATTGTGGCACAGGAGTATTGCAATACATCACTTTCCTTTCTCTTTCCCCTCTCACCCAAAGCTCCATCCCTGTCCCTGCTCCCCTTTGAACAACAGTCTCTTTATTGCTTGTGTTGAAGGAGTGGGAGTTTACAGGCAAGCACACTTAATGCAGGGAACAGTTCATTAAGAGCAAATGTATGACTGCCACTTCGCTGTCTAGCTATTCAAAAAACATTTTTAAAGTAGGGATGTAAGTGAGTAGTCGGCTAGTTGACTACTTGATAAGCCCAGGCTTATCAGGTAGTTGAGCTGACTACTCGCATTTGCCCCTCTCCCCCACTGCCTACATTTCAGAGGCAGCAAAGGAGCAGCGGGAGGTGGGGGAAAGAGCAGGAGCCGGTGCTGGGGGAAGCTGGCTTAAAAGCAAGTCTGGCTTAGTCCCGGCTTCTGCTGGGTCTGGGACATACCCCCCACTGCAGCTCTGCAGTTTAAATGTAGTAGGAGTCGGGTTGCCTGACCACGTGGCTCTTACTACATTTAAACTGCAGAGCTGCAGCAGTGGTAGCTCCCGCACTTGGTGCAAGCCAGGATTGAGTGCCTTCTCCTATTGACTAATCGTGTAGTTCATTGAATTTTTAATCGGCTACATGATTAGTTAAATACTCGCTTCTTAACATCCCTATTTCAAAGCCTCTTTAATTTTTCAGTGCCCCTCACTGTCCTCTCCTTATTGCCCTAGTGTCTGGTGGCTCATAATTACTAGCTAGGCACTGTGCCTTGGTTACCCATCATGGTGTAAAACTTTCCCCCTTCTGCACTTTAGGGTAGGGGAAAGCAATTTGCAAACTTCCATAAAAGTGGACTTATACATGTGAAAGTTTTGTAGCCACTGCTGCATAACTATGTGGTCCCACCAGTCTGTATTTCCCTCACGACACCAGAATCAACATTCCACTGTGTCAAGAGGACCGAATGCCGGTGGCATTTGCCAGTTGCTCAACTCAAGTGTTTCACCAAAGACTATGTTCATGGCCTCCCGAGATTTGTCCTTGTTCTGGCAGACCCTGGATACACTGTTGACATACTGTAGCATGAGGTTCACCATGGTTAATATTAATGTCATAATGCTGTGATGCTCAAGGGGATCCATGATGGGATCCATGCTTACATTGCTATGATATCTGCACAGGGGTAAAAAAGGGTGTGAAAAGACTGTTTGCTGTTGCTCTCAAGAAGGGCGGGAGGAAGGAGATGAGTACATCTTGGGATGCTGATGACACGTACCCAGAACTACTCTGTTGCACAGTTTGGTTTTAGTACGCACTGGGAGCATAACCCAGAATGCAGAGGTGTGGCAGGAACTGTGATATAGCTGCTCACAGTGCATCACTCTCAAAGTCTATGGTAGCCATACTACTGGGGATGCACTTCGAACTACATTGAATTCTCGTGCATAGTGAGCACATGCATCTTCGATTTTACAAAATTGAGTGCTAGAAAATCACCCTTAATAAATTCAACCATATTTCTCAGTGTAGACAAAGCCTTAGTGGCAAGCAGGGCAGTTACCAGTGGCCCCCACACTACAAGGGACCCTGTGCAGCTAAGTTACAGGCTCAGACTTCGGCCCTAGGTGGTGGTCAGTGGGATTTGAGTTGGGATGAGGCTTGTGTCCTGTATCTTAAGTTTGGGGTCCTCCTTGGTATGGGGCACTAGGCAATGGACTGTGTATTGCTCTGTGTACATTTCAGTGATGTACTGTTTATTGCACGTGTCCTACCCATGACTTCTAATAAAAATATCTATGCCAAAATTGTAGGCTTAACATCAGCGTTCCCTATAAGATGTGCACTAGTGCAGCTGCTCAGGAGAGGTTCACATTGTGCCCAGCTGATTAGCAGAGAGCCCAGAGCTAGGTTTTGTTTCTACTGCTGGTGCACATTCACACATCTCAGTGCACATAACAAAATTTATTCTGTACTCGCATGGAAAAAATTTGCCCGTGGATGGAAAAGATTAGAGGGAACATTGCTTACTATATACATATAGTCTAGGATTATAAACCTAAATTTATAATTTTTCCTAAATATTTCCAGTTGTAATGGGCTGAAATATGGTATATTACTTGTCAGCCAAAATTTTGATTTGAGCTTTTATCTGTTAGATTAGATTTTTTTCTTGAATTTGAAAAACTTGTGATTGAAACTGCCAAATGGTTATGTCTTTTGTTATATTTTGAAATAGCTAATAATTGCAAATGTTAGTATCATAGTATGATATAATATTGGGTCACTAGTTTCTATTACATGACTTAAATGCGTTCGTGCATTAGGGCAATGATACAATTCATTTTACAGCAACTGTAATATTTTGATAGTTGATTTTTCCCTCCCTTTTTGATTTTTGCGGAAGACCAAGGGATTTGAAAGAGGAAGTAGGCATGTTTTAATAGTCGTTAAGAAAAAGGCCTGGAACCCAGAATGCTCATGTCTTCTGATTTTACCTCAAGCCATTAGCACCTTATATAATCTTGAACAAGTAATTTTCAACTGTCAGTTTTTTAAAATTATTTTGAAATAACGGGATTGATGTGTAGATGTTCGCATTGTTATTTTGGAATAAGTCTGTTATTTAGAAATAACTGTGCTGTGTAGATGCACTCAAAAAAGAAAACTGCAGTGGGAGGGAATAAAAAATTACTGGGCTAAAAGACCAACATTGCATATCCTGTAATCTGTTGGAAAATATCTTACCATTGTGGTGACCATTTCTGCCACTGCTGTAGTTAATCACGGTGATGGATATTGCAACTCCATTCAGTATCTTTGGGGACAGTTGTATTACATTTATGAATGGTTTATGTATGAATCTCTTCTCAAGGAGGGTGTCCACAGCTCCTCCAGGAACTAAAAATAATGGGGAATGGTGAAAGTGGGTTGCTAAGACCATAAACAACTCCTGAAAGGGTTCCACTCTTTGGACAGTTTGCAGATAATGGTTTATACTGTATTTTCCACAGACCAAGAGATAAAGAAAGGCCTTTGGATGTGTAAAGACAGAGTTTATGCACACTCATGGTCTTCCTTTTGTTTCAGGAAATGGATAGAGCCCTTGGTCATAAAGGGACTTCTATTCTTGCTGAAAAGTTGGAATGGATGTTGGATTACCAGAGTCCTCATGTGGATGGATGGTTAATTTCTTGTATTTTTACTAAGCATGTAGGAACTTGTGTTGCTTTTGTGTTTTCAGCATAATGGTTTTCTTTTTAACATAAACTGGGAAAGAGCTGTGTAATTATTTGTAACTATTTATATTTAATAAAATCACTATGAAACCCACTATAAATTATTGTTTTGGGGGCAGGAGATCAGCTCTCTCCCATTGATAAAGGGGGTGAATGTTTTATGAGCTTGTTCTGCATTAAACTTTACACAGGGTAAGATGGATTTATATGGAGTTCCTGTCCCACTGGGGCTGTGCACCTGGGTGCTGTGTCAATTCCCTTTAACTGAACCTTCCCAGGGCTGATCTGATCTCAGTGTCTGTATTACTCTGTTTTGGCTATGACCCCAACTCTATGCCAGTGCTGAAGGAGACCAGAAAATCTTGCTTAGCAGGACAGGGTGGTGAGGAACCGCAGAGGGCAGGTAGGCAGAGTCGGTGGTATTTCAACACATTTTCAGCTCATCTAGACTACGCAAAAGATTTGAAAGAGGATCTCACTTTTGAAAGCAGAATCTGATCACACTTTTGAAAGCAGAGCTTTCCAAAGTGAAAGTAGTCAGAACGCGGCTTTTTCGGCACCCCCCCAGGGGGGGTTGCCGAAAAAACGCGTCTAGACTACTTTCACTTTCGAAAGCTTTGCTTTCGAAAGTAAGATCAGAAAAATATATGCAAAATCCACGTGAATTTGCATATCTTCTTTCGAATCTTCTGCGTAGTCTAGACATAGCACAAGTGACAGTCTCAAGGGGATATCTATGACCAGATGTGCCACACTTACCTTCAGGCTGAAGGGAACCAAATTTGGAAGTTGACACTTGCCCTTCTGTTAAAGGAACGAATTGCAATTTTTTTATATCTAGACCTGAAGGAAGAATGAAAGCTATCACTGAAGACTTAAAGATTAGCATTTTAGAAAGATATTTACCATTTCTGTGCTGATACTTTTAAATTAGTTTATTTCGGCTAAACTGGACATCTTTGTTGAAACAAGCAAGTAAATAGGTTATCCTGAGCAATGAAGTCACTTGATTCTTCATATAATTCCTAACAATTTAACTTTTGAATATCAATACTAGTTGTTTCTTGTTCTGTAAAAATTGCATGATGAACTTACTTATTTTGTATTTTTTTCTTTATTTGTGTTTTTAAGGCTGATAAAGAATTTGTGTGGTCTTTGTGGAAACGCCTCCAGGTGGCAAATCCAAATCTTACACAAGCAGTGAGCATGATAGTGGAAAGGTGAGCTTGAAGACTTTCTGTATGACTTCTTAAAATTAAATATGCTAAATGTCTCTTTTGTTTGTTGTCACATGGTTTAGTGTTTAAGATTTTTTTACAATTGCTTTTACACTTATGAAATTATTTAGGTTCTTGAATTTGTAAAAATCGTATATTCAAATTTTGTCAAGACTACCTATAGCCTGAGAGAGGCTTCTTTTTTAACAAATCTAAATAAACTCTAAAACTCTGTGTTTCATCCAGATTGCTCTTCATGCATTCAATAATGTTTCTAATTTTATCTATTAGGATTTTATCCTCACATCCTTTAGATTCATTTGGTAGTGCTGGTGTTTTTGTTTTTTTTTTTTAAAGTCCTGCTAATTGTTTCTAGATTGAATGGTAGTCAGTGACAGTCTTTATATGAAATGCACAGGCAGTCCCCGGGTTACGTACAAGATAGGGACTGTAGGTTTGTTCTCAAGTTGAATTTGTATGTAAGTCGGAACTGGTACATATTGTAGGGGAAACTGTAGACAAACATTTCTCCAGAGCTCAGTTTTATTCTCCCACACCTCACTTCCCTCAGTCCTTTATTCTCAAGCTGAGGTGTCTGCTGAGAAAAGCTGCTCCCTGGTCTGCTGGGTGGGGGGACTAGCTTCATGTCTCCCTGGTCTGCTGGGGGGAAGCAGCTAGTGCGGGGTTGCCTCACCCCATTTGTAAGTAGGGATCCGATGTAAGTCGGATCCATGTAACCCGGGGACTGCCTGTACATACATAGAATCATAGAATACTAGAACTGGAAGGGGCCTCGAGAGGTCATCAAATCCAGTCCCCTGCCCTCATGGCAGGACCAGGCACAGTATAGATCATCACTGATAGATGTCTATCCAAACTGCTCTTAAATATCTCCAGTGATGGAGATTCCACAACCTCCCTAGGCAATTTATTCCAGTGTTTAACCCCCTGACAGTTAGGAAGTTTTTCCTAATATACAACCTAAATCTCCTTTGCAGCAATTTAAGCTTATTGCTTCTTGTCCTATCCTTGGAGGCCAAGGAGAACAATTTTTCTTCAAGTAGTCCCCGTGGGTGCTCCATGGAAGGGGTTGGGCTTGTCTTGGTGCTGCAGCTTGGAGCCTTTCAAGAGCCATTGTCAGTTGGGCTGCGCATGTACGGACAGCGTCTCGCACCGTTTGCGCGGTTGGTCCACTGCGCGCGGCCCGGCTCCCACTAGTTCCTCTCGACCATCCTTGGCCGTGAACGGAGCTCTTCCCTTCTCCTCTCCTCACAGACGACGATCTCCTTTCGTTCACTGTAAATAGTTCAAAACCTCTTAAGTTATTTGTTCAAATTCGTTGTTAAAAAAAAAGAAGAAAAGGAAAAGTGATGAGTGTATGGATAAAATCTACACCATCAGCAGGTCGCGGCTTTGCAGCCCCACTAGACTGTTACTGGCTGATTGCCAAAGCAAAAAAATCCAACAAACTAAAAACTGAGAACTATCAAAGAGAGGAAAGAGAAGGAAAATGAATCCGCTATGCCTGGCTCGCCAGGATTCAAGAAGTGTTCCCACTTCCACGAGACAATGCCAGCCTCAGATCACCATGCCGCGTGCATAAGGTGACTGGGGAACGAGCACATACTACAAAAGTGCCCTTGTGCTAAATTTACAGCCAGGGCACGCCGAGACCACGAAATGCAGCTTAAAATGATACTCTTTGATAAGGGGCTCCAGCCAGACATACCAAGAGATGTGACAGCAGTACTGACAGAGCTGGCGCCAGTACCAGCACCAAGAAAAGCACAAGATGAGACTAGGGGTCACAGGAGCAGCATATCCCCATTCCCAATCTTCTCTCCTGGACCCTCTCCGTCACCTCCTCAACATCGTTCACCTGTGCAGCGGATTTACAGATATCGCAGTCCCAGAAACCACCATTACTACAGGCGCAGTTCTTATTCACGGCATTCACGTCTATCGCGCCCCTGCGAGGAAGAATATTACACACTACGCTCCTACGCTCCAGCTTCCTCCTATAGCCGCTCCCCCTCTTATCCTTATTCCCCAACACGTTCACCGCCTCCTTCCTACAGCAGACAATACAACAATATCAGGTCATCCAGACACTCCTTGCCATACTACTCGCATCGCCACTATGATCGTCGTTCTGGGTCAGTGCATTCCTCGGCCTACCATTACCAGTGCCAGACTTACCATTGCCCATCGGGATCAGATCTTTCTTTACCATTCCCTTTTCCCCCTCTGGAAACGCAAAGGAGCCAAGACTGCCAGCTAACCTCCCCACCTCACAACGGTGACCCAACAGTCGGAGTGGGAGGAGGGACAGCTTTTGGAAACACCAACCACAGATTGTTCCTCCTCCTCTCCAGATGAGGCAGTATTCCCAACCAATGCTTCTCTGCCGGACAATTACAGGCAATTCCAAGAGCTCTTTCGGCGCGTGGCTCAGTCTTAAGAGGTCCAATTAGCTGAAGTACAGGCCAAGCAATATCGTCTCTTGAAGAATCTCCACTCTCAACAGAGCTCAAAAATCGCCCTCCCTATCAACGAGGTCATCATGGAGGCCGTGGAGATTATCTGGCAGACTCCAACTTCCATCCCATCCACCTGTAAACAGGTGGATAAGAAATATTTTGTTCTGGCGAAAGGTGTGGAATTTTTGTTTAATCATCCTCAGCCCAATTCTTTAGTGGTAGACACAGCTCAGCAACATGCAAAAGTGCCACAATATAAGAACTCGGCACTGGACTTGAGGAAATTGGACATATTTGGAAGAAAGGTTTACTCCTCGGCAACCCTCCTTCTGCAGATCGCTAATTATTCGGCTCTGTTATCAAACCACAACTTTGACAACTATGCCAAGGTAGCAGAGCTTCTTCAACACCTTCCAGAAGCGAACTGACCTCTTCTTAAAGCGCAGGTATAGGAGGGCTTTGCAACAGGAAGGGCTAGCCTTCAGATGGCACTTGATGTCGCCGACACAGCTTCTCGTGCAACGGCAATAGCCATGAGGGGGTCTTCCTGGCTTACCTCAGCTGCAGTTCCGAAAGAACTTCAGAGTAAGGCGGAGGACCTCCCATTTGACAGAAAAAAGCTGTTTGCAGAGCAAACAGATGGGGTCCTTCACTCTGGCAAGGATTCTTGAGTGACACTCCGAACATTGGGAATGTGCATGCTGGCCTTTAGGAGGAAGAAATATTTCCCATACCAGAGGAGATATGATTATCCTTTCCAAAGACAGCAGCAACACTGCCCAGTGGAGCAATCCCACATGAGACAGCAGTCAAATTGTAGATGTCCCCAGCCTCCCCATACATCAAGTCAACCGACTAACAAACAACAAATTTGACTCTTCGATTGAGAGTACGCACCCAATCCTGAATACAGAGGCAGTTCCTCAGGTCTCCTGTCTTTTTCACCATTGTTTGCACCCCTTTCTCCAACAGTGGGCATGCACTACATTGGACAAATGGGTGCTTCAGGTCATACGAGACGGACTTGCCATCCCCTTCACATCTCTACCACCCCCCAATCCCTCCCAACCCTGTCCCCCTGGTGGGACTCTTGTACATTTCAAAAGCAGAAGCCCCGCAGGAAATGCGAGGCCAGGGGGGTACTTGCTCGCTGGCCCTATGCTCCCTATGGTGCCTCAGCCTTTCTAATGTACAAGAGCCCTGGTGGGACTCTTGCACATTTAAAAAGTAAGCCCAGCAGGGGGCACGGGGCCAGTGTGGACTCCTTCACTGGCCCTGTGCTCTCTGTGGCACCTCAGCTTTAGAAATATACAAGAGTCCTGCAAGGGCTCCCTGTGGGTCTTCTGCTTTTGAAATCTACAAGAGCCAGAAGGGCTCTTGCTACAATTCATAAGCGGAGGTGCCCTTATCGATTAATCAGATAGTTGATGGAAATCCCATTGTCTGTTTGATTAGTTAATTAATCGAAATTTAACATCCTTAACAGATATTAAGACAAAATTAGAAAAAGCATCCATATATTGTTGGTGCTGACCTTAAGATACCTATGGCCTGTCTTTTATAGAGGTTCTAATCTCCTGAAGCTCCCATTCATTTCAAGTAGAGGTGTAAGTGTTCAGAACTCTTAATGAACATTTTGCCCCATGGGTCGCAAATTGGGCACCCAGAAAATAAGGAAAACAGCTAATGCTCTGAAAATTTTGCATTATATTGTTTAACATCATGTAGATCAGGGCTACTCAATACACGACCCATGGGCCACGTGGTACCATTTGTTTGCAGCCCACGGTGCAGTTTGGGTTTTCACGGGGCTCAACGTGGCCCATGGATGGAATCCTTTGAACGTGGCCTCTGGGCGTGAAGCAGAAGCTGGAGCTGGAGCAGCCCATGTCCAGTGGGGTCAGCACCGAAGCCTGCCACAACAAGCCGCTGAGAATGGAAGTGGGTGGCAGCGATGGCATGTGGAACCAGATGACGTGATGATGTCACTCTGTCATCCCACAGGATGGCCAAGGGCCACAACTTAAGTATGTTGCATATATATATATATATATGCAACATACTTAAGTTGTGGCCCTTGGCCATCCTGTGGGATGACAGAGTGACATCATCACGTCATCTGGTTCCACATGCCATCGCTGCCACCCACTTCCATTCTCAGCGGCTTGTTGTGGCAGGCTTCGGTGCTGACCCCACTGGACATGGGCTGCTCCAGCTCCAGCTTCTGCTTCACGCCCCAGGTGGCTGTGCCGCTGGGGAGGGCCTGGCTTCCCTCTGCCATCCAAGTCCGACTTCCCCCACCTCTGCCACCCTTCTGGGCTGCACTGGGTCCCCTCTGCCATCCAAGGCTAACGCCCCCCTGGGCCATCCCAGGCCCCTATACCATCTGAACCCGACCTTCCCCCCCAGACCACCCTGTGACCCTTCTGCCATCTGAGCCCAACCCCTCCCTCAGAGACAAAGGCTGTTAAGAGGCGGGTAATGGACTAAGTTGTATCAACTACATGATTAGTTGATATGGGA